ACGGCTTTCTGACGTCGCTGCCCACGGGTCAACTGCATGTGTGCTAAAATCCTAAACCCTAAACCCTAAACTCTAAACCCTACCCTGAACCCTCAAACAAGGCAGGCCTTAATCTCAGCAGCCGGGATGGGGGCTTTAGGGTTTAGGGTCTAGGTTCAGGTTCGGGAGCCCTGTCGTGCTAGAGCTGAATTCGGAGTCTGTGTTGAGGGCTTGCTACAGCCTTGGTGTTTAGGGTCTAGGGTTTAGCACTTAGGGAGTTTATGGTTCAGTTCAGGGTTTGGGGGTGTAGGTTTAGTGTTGACTAGAGCCGCAAAGCCAAAACGTGACGTGTTGGACCCTTTGCAGACAACAACGGGCCTCGTAGAGAACAGTGCCATGTGTTAAGCTGGAGGCCTCAATATCAAGTAATTTCCTACATCTATATATATATATATATACATATATATATATATATGTATATATATATATATATATGATTTCTTAGGGCTCCTTATTATAACTATACTACAATGCACCACAAAACCCTAAGCTCTTTCAAACCCTCAAGGCCAAACTCAAGAACCCTGGGCTCCAAAGTTGAACCGGGGTTTAGGGTATACCACGGTTTAGGGTTTAGGGTTTAGGCGGTTTAGGGTTTAGTCGGTTTAGGGTTTAGGGTTAAACCCCAAAGAACCTGCCTTTCTTTAAGGATGTATGCAAAGAAACTCTAATATAGGGAGCCCTAAGAAGGTAGGCTACTTGGGGTCCAGGTAGCGTTTAGCGTTAAAGCGTGAGGATCAAGGTGCGCTCTGCTATGAAAGGCTCCCCAAAGACTTCAGCCCCGAGCCGGAAACCCCAGAGCCAACCAAGACTTTAAGCCCCAAACCTGAGAATCTGAGGCCCCATAAGCTAACCCTAAACCCCTAAACCCCAAAACCCTTAAACCCTAAACCCCTAAACCCCAAAACCCTAAACCCCTAAACCCTAAACCCTTAAACCCTAAACCCCTAATCCCCTAAAGCCTTTCTCTACATCCAACACCTCAGGCCCCACAGACCTGAAGGCCTGAAAGAAGAAGGATCCTATTATTTGGGGTGCTATATAT